ACTATTTAGCATCGTTCTTCTTCTTTCCGCAGTGAGGAGGAAGTCCAGGAGCGTTTGGCAGTTGTTGGCTCCCCCTACTGGATGGCCCCAGAGGTGCTCAGAGGAGAAGTGTACAATGAAAAGGTACTGAAGACGAGATTCCTCCTTCATGCTTTCAGCTGAGGATTGTTCCCAGAGTTCAGTGTTGACACTGGGTGTAATAAAAAAGCTGGTTGAATAAACCATGAAACTATGCAGTGAGGTAAAGCAATAAATGTGTAAATAGTCATTTTATTGTTCAGAGAGCAAACAGACAGGTTATGTAATTGTAATATTTCCTCATTTGAAATTGTAGTGATTGGTGGAAATTCCCATACAACACTGGAGTTAAAATATTGCAGATATACTCTTACCTGCTATCAATCTACAAATTTGCATATCTGCAAAAACATACTAACTTTGCACCAAAAAAATAGATATTATTGCGAAACAATTAGCGGAATGGCAATTTGTTTTTCTTGATGAATCATTTCATGGTGTCGTTGCAGGTGGATGTGTTTGCGTACGGGATCATCTTGTGTGAGATCATCGCGAGGATACAGGCCGACCCAGATGTCCTGCCGCGCACTGAGGTACCGATTCAGCTTTCTGTGACAGAGCCGAGCGGCTTAACCTGCATCCACACCCTGTTTGAACCAGACCAATCTTCATGAGGAACGACGGGAGGGGGGGGAAAAACTTTGCAGCCTGAACACAAACATGGCTGCGTCCGTAACGCAGATTGCGCCGAGATCGGAACTGCTTTTAGCGAAGTCACGCCTTTATCTCTCAGTCATCTTTTCTCTGGTGGTTTATCTTGGACAAACAGGAAGCTGGCTTTCCTATCTCGACTGAGAATTCAAATACTGATAAAGGCCTCAAACTCAAGCGAGGGTTTGTGCTGCGCGCAGCATCGGCCCAACAGTTTGTGCGGTCTCTGACCACATAAATATTTAAACTTGGTTTTGAATAGGGTGGTTAAACAGGAAAAACAGAAAAACCACACACACGACCCGATACACTCACTGGGAAATTACACAATTCAAAAACATCAAATGCTGTAAGTTTTTAAAATGTAATAAATTATTGTTGCAGACATTGATATGAATAAATTGCTTTACTTTCTTGACAACTAGTCATGGACAAATGCTTTGGTAGTGATGCAAAGTAAGTTGAATTTTTGTGCCATTAAATCACATTGACAGTTTTCTGATCTCGCTGAACAAATGGCAGAAATTAGCTTTAAATTAAGACTTTTTCTGTGGCTTTTTCTCAGTATCTGTACAGCTGGTGTATTTGTCAGCCTGGTATTCATACGCAGCTGCAGAAATTGCATACATTTCCGGCTGCAAGTGTTTCAGTACTTCGTTTCAACTCCTTTGGGGCTATAATAAGAATATTTCTCCACTCAGTATAATGGTTGAAGCCATTATCTGACAGAAATTGATTAGAAAGTGAACCTTTTTTAGAAATCCATTTGGAATGATTTTGTGTGTGTTTTCCTTCAGGACTTTGGCCTGGACGTTGAGGCCTTTCAGCAGATGGTTGGAGACTGTCCACCTTACTTCCTGGATTTGGCCATCGCTTGCTGCAATGTATGAAACACTCATTAGATACACATATGCGCTCCATCTCCGATATGACTGCTTCCCATTCTGCATGTCTTCTGCTATGACTGTAGGGGAAGTTGAAGGAAGTGTTAGAGCTGGACTTGATGTAACTGTCATATAAATGCAAGTTCTGGACATGGGTGGTTTTATGGGATCGTTGCATTTGGACAAAAACCATAAAACTAAAGCGATCTCTTTGCTTTTATTTAAGAAAGAAAATTGACACCAGGGAATATGACTGCAATGAGAAGAATCTCTGCTTGTTGACGAACGTAATCGTCTGTGTCTGTGTGTCGTTCTCAGATGTCAGCGAGACTCCGTCCGTCTTTCTCCCAAATCGTAGCCGAACTGGAGAAGAAGAAACGAGCTGAGAGAGAGCAGAGAGACGAACTTCAAGTGAAAGGTGAGACGTCATTTGGGCACCACGTGACAATAATCTGACCTTTTCCTGTATTTAATCTGGCTTTTCTCTGTACAATCTCTTCTCCAGCCGTCGGGCCTCTGCGAAGGCCGTCCCTCTGCGACGCGCTTGACCCGCGTCTCTCTCGCAGCAAGTCCGACATGCTGCACCCTCCGCACGCTCTCCCCTGCGTCGCCTTGGCCCCCTCGGCCCGGGTGAACCCCTTCTCGCAGCGGGAGGACCTCAAAGGAGGAAAAATCAAGCTTTTTGACACGCCCAGCAAGTCGGTCATCTCCCTGACCTTCACCCTGCCGCCTCCGCTGGACTGCGACAACGTTCCCACGCCCGACGGCGAGGTCGTCGACGTCCCCAGGCGGCACAGGCGGTGCCACTCGTTGCCGTGTACGCCTCCGCCGCACATGGTGTCTGCGCCAAACACCGTCTTGGCTGAGGAGGAGTTGATGTTTGAGGTCAACAATGTGAACGGCGGAGGGAGCGAGGAGGACAGTTTGTTGGGAGGGGAGGTAGATATTTCTCCGACGGGTGATTCGGGTCTTCCGATTGAACCGATGTCGCTGAATCTGGCAGACCAAGAGGAACAGGACACGGAAGAGGAGCCCATGGACTGCACTGTCTCCCCAGACACGCAGATCACATCGTCACCCCTTTACTCCAAGCATCCTCCTCCTTCTCACTCCTCGACTCCCTTTAATCCCTCCACATCTTCCGTGGCGAACGGCTGGAGGTCGACCATCTCCAACGGGCCTCCCAGTCTGCCGCCCCTCTCCAATCTGGAAAACCACAATGTGATTGTGAGCCGGCCGCTCGGCTGGGGCGCTCCCACAGACACTCCCACCGCCAACAACAACGGCTACCACTCCCCGCCCGCCGACCCGGCCGGCTCGTCCCCCTTCGGCTCCGGCAGCGGACACTCTCTGGACCAGGAGGAGGTCATCTCCTGTCCCGGCTGCTGCCTGGCCGGACTCCGTTTCCCTTCGGTGTGTCTGAGAGCCCCACCTCGTCGAAACCCCTACAAGAACTTGAACGGGGACCACGCGGCGTCGCGCGGGCTCCTCTGTCCGGGACCCAAGACCCTGCCGCCCTCCCTCACCCCCAACGCCAGCCTGGATCCAGGACTGACCCTGCCAGGAGCTCAAACATAAATCCCGAACCGTCAACACCAAATGCAAAGCTCTTCCCTGGGAATCAAGCGGGTTCTTCTTAAAATTTGCACAGATTTTAATGCAGCAATACTTATTTTCCAGACACAACTTTTCATATTTTTTTGTTGCACAGGCGTTTGTGTGTCTGCATGAGTTCATTAAAATACTGTCCAGACTTAAAAGAAACGACTTACTCTCCAGGAAACGCTGTGAGACTTTGCCGGTGGGCGCCCTCTGCTGGACTGAGGGGGCCCCAACACCTGATGTCAGCCTGTGATGTGACTGATTGGACTCTGACAGCATGTGAGCACTCCAGTTTGTGGCAGCGAGATCCTGTAAATTTACAGCTCTTAACAACTATAACGCCGAATGAAACTGATGATGTTGAAACGAGGAATGTTGAGCTTAGTATTAATACTGTTGCAATGATAATTATTTTTGATGTTTAGTGCTGCTTCTGAATGAGCAGGCAGTTTTGTTTTCATGCATTTAATTATCAAGAGGTGTACAGATCGTTTCGGGGAGTGTTTGTTGGAATGCGAGCGAGCGTGTGTGTGTGTGTGTGTGTGCGTGTGTGTGTGTGTGTGTGTGTGTGCGTGTGTGTGTGTGTGTGTGTGTGTGTGTGTGTGTGTGTGTGCTGTACACTGTTCAAACCGTTTTTGTTGTATGATCTTTGTTGGCCCTTTTGGTTGCCTGGTTAAGCACTTCAGCTGTATTACTGTTGATAAGAAAACTGTTTATCATTATGTTTGGGAATGAATGGTCAAAGACCTGCTTAAGAGATGTACAGATTCTTATTATTTAAGATGGCATTGAATAAAAAGACGGACTATACTGAGGTTTTGGCTGTTCTCTGTTGTCTTCCACAATGACTTCACGTTTAAAGGGTCATCTTATTTCCACAAATATTGAATATTGTGATTAATCTTTTAAATATCTTCTAAAAAAAAAAACAAACATAGTACTGTTTTAACCATGTTTAAATGTAACAGGTATGGCTTAGTGCTGTTAAGTTTTATTTTCATGCATTGAATTAATTTTTGATCTTTCTCTATTTAGAGTTTGGTTGAAAAAAAAACCCATTAATTTTGTTGTTTAAATGTAGTGCATGTTGGTAATTTTGAGTTAGATTTATGCTGGTGACATGTTTTAAAACACCAGCTGACTTTAAAAAAACAACTTTAAAATAAAGATTAGCTTATTTTGGCTTAATATACTATATTTGGTGAATAAATTAACTTTAATATCTCTTCATCGATATTCAGCATATTGGCATTTGGCCTGCTTTTCCGAGAACAATTTGACAAATTAAAACATTTATAACTAAATTGTTCACACATTAGCCAAACATTCTTAAAATGGGGAAGTCGTACTAGACCTTAAATGTTTTTATTATATTAGCATCTCGTTGGTCTGTTAAGTTTCTGTTTTTATTTTATTTCATTTACCGTCTAGGAACAGATCAATGGATATTTTAGCCCAGTTGCTCTCTGTATGTAAAAATAAGCATGTTGGGAACAAATATTATTAGAATTAATACCAACATTAATTCTTATAGCAACATACAAACTGGAAAACTTGTATGTATTAAGAAGTATTTAATTAGGTTTTCTTTGGTCAATATATCATTCAAAGAAAAAGTTTTTTTCTCTCTCTCTAAAATATGACAGATGTAACATGCAAAAGTTTGTTCCATGTTACTGAGCAACAAACTGAAACGGTCGAGTAAAGTGTCATAAACTGATTGTCACGCTATAAAGGGTCTTTAAGTGACATGAGGAAACCGTCATACTTTATTTCATGCACAAAATGCACATCAAGCTGGTGATTTGCATCATAAACTTAGGAAACTATTTCAATATTTCATTCAAATGACAAAACGGGTGATTTCCTTCCCTCTGATCGATTCCTATTGCAGAAAATTCAATCCAGAACTGGAAAATGAATTCGCTGTTCACAGCAGCGATGTGTGAAAGGAGTGCGCCGCACAGACGTCTTCAGGCTGCAGCGCTCCCATTGATGGTGTCTTTTCTCACCTTCCTCTCTTAAGTGGATCACTCAACCTGCCCTCTCTGACAAAATCAACCCGCCTTTAACTGAATCCTTATCCCTCTCCTCCACCTTCCCGCCCGTCAGTCTCTCCCACAGCCGCTTCTCCTGCCTCCTCCATGGCTCATCATCGCGCCTGCTTCACCCGTCAGAACCTCCGACTCTGAGCTCGTCACAGCCTCCCTTCCCTCGGTCCAGAGGTGGCGCGGAGGCCATGAGGCCACGGCGTTTCCCGCGGCGTGGATTTGAGTTTGCGCTGTCTGTGATAACTGTCCAACTCATCGCAGGTGAGTGCTGAAGATCCCCCGGGGATGACACCGAGGCACAACGTGGAAATTTAGATGCGGATTTAGACTTGCCCCCCCATCCCTGCTAAACGGTGGTACCTTTTTTGGCATCTTTGGTCAACTGTTGCATCACGTTGCGGCATGTTTAAAAGTTGTGACAGTTGGACTTAAGGGGTCAGAGAGCTCCTGTGTGACTGGGCTATTTCTGTGTCTGGGTTTCGTGCGAACCTCTCAGGGTCGACTGGGTTAGTCTGCTACACCGCTGTGGAATCGCTGGACTTAGGCTGCCTCCTGCGGTGGGATTGTCCCCATGCCAGCCCGAATATCACCTACACGGTGCAGACAAAGACTCAGGGGTAAGTCCTAATCCCCGATGTGTCGGAGGCCAGAAACTCGACTCCTGCCTCAGTTCCTCTGCATAAACTCTTGGTAAAAGTTTTTCCAAGCATTGCAGTCATTGACAGAAAATGCCATAATGTTAACACTTTGTACGTAGACTGCATGGTTTCATTGTACAAAACCTGTATTAAACTCCAACAGCGTTATTAACTTTTTTGGAAAAGTCAATGACACAAGAAGGGAAGTAAAGGCCTTCCAACTCTAATTAGTATTTATGTTGCAGACCAATCCGATACAAGGTGGTGCATTGTTGTAAGATATTAAAAGGGTTTTTTTTGTTTGTTTTGTTTCTTTGCAAAATATGTGGTGTGCATCTATTGGATATGTCAAACGCCCCTTTTCACTTCTCCAGACATTTGAGCTCGCAGAGTAACTCAAACTCAGTCAGATTGCGTCGAGAGCGTCTTTAAATGTGCATTTTCAAATCCCTTACGCAAGTTTTCTACTAGAGCGAACTTTGATTAGGCCATTTAAACAGTATGATTTGTTCTAAATATACTAAACCCGGGATAGGGCGTGTTGCTTCAAAACGTTTGGCGCCTCTGTCAGGTTTCTTTCGAGATTTGCTGCACGGATCTTAACACGAGACAAAGATAAATCCGTCTACATGTTTGTTTCTTTCTTCTTGGAGTTACGTTCCACTTTGTTTTGGTCAAAAATAATTTTCAGGGAAAAGAAAATGAAAAAGTACATTTGTGATCTGGACATGACAAGATGTGGCGATGTTTGAGGGTTGTTAACTTTTGCAAGTTATCAAATCTGTCAGATTAGTTGTCGATAATTTCACTTTCATTGGTGTGTTTTTTTTTGTTCCCTCCACACGCATAATATTCATAAAACCCCTATTTCATCTGGTGACTCTTGAGGCCCACATTCTCCTATTGGAAAAGCTTTGGAAGAGAGAAACAGGAAGGCCAGAGGGATGTTGTGATGCATCCAAGTTGCTGTGTTTCTGCGCCGCAGGGATCCCTGGCAGGACGTCCCGTGGTGCGTTTGGGTCTCCACCCGGAGCTGTGACGTCTCCCTGGTCTTTTCCAACTTTGAGCTCTACAACATGATCCGCCTCGGCGTCCACCTCGGTCCCGGCTCCGTTGTTTGGGTCAAGCCTCACAAGTTCGACTACAGCGACTTCAGTCGGTGGCGGGCCAAAAATACCACACGGCATTCTTTTCATGAAAGCATGAAAACAAGAGTAAATACGCTCTGCTCTCTCTCCCCGCCCCGCAGCCTTCAGCCCTCCGTCTGTCTCCGTCTCTCTGAACAACGACACCCTGTCTGTGGAGGTGCAGTTCCCCTGCGCTGCCAGCAGGAGGTGCTCTCGTGACGCGTGTTGCCCCATCTCGACCCTGATTGACCCCTGGACCACAGTCACCGTGTTCAACGAGCTCAACCGCTCTGACCAGCAGGTTGGCGACAAATAAGTACAGTGCAAATTTAAAGATGTTGTTGTTGTGAAATGAAGATTATGTTATTATTCTCAACAGATGTAGCTGGTTGAATAATAATAAAAAAAAGTCAATCAGTCAATGACGGCCCTTTGAGAACACAAAAGGCCTCAAGACTTGCACAACTCTTGACATGCGTCTGTTTTCTGCTTGCGTGTGTAACAGAGCCGCACGGTTTGGACTCAGGAAGCGGTTTCAGTCGTCGAGTTCTCGGGTTTGTCTCCGGGTCAGAACTACTGCGCCGAGGCCAACTTCTCCTTCCCGACCTTCTCCATGGCTGCTTCCCCCAAATCTGCCCCAGGGTGTGTTGAAACCGGCTCCAGATCAGGTCAGGAGGAGTCAGGGAACCACTGAAAAAACTGCCCGGGCCTTCAGCAGGAGATGCGTTGTGTTCTCTGAGACTGGGAGGTCAGAGAGGGTCTCACGTGGTGGACCGGTTGGATCGAACCAGATGTTGAGCCTAAAAAGCCAAACTGATTTCCTGCTGGTGTTTAATGCGTCTTTAATCGTTCAGCTTCGCTTGTTGCTCGGTGTTTTCGTGCCTGCAGGCGTGCCGCCGATGCTGCGTCTCGGAGCCGGCCTGTCCTTCGTGTTCCTTCTGTTGTTTCTCACGGTGTTCCTGCGAAAACCCAGACGGGACCGACCGGCCCCCGACGGTCCACCCAAGGCTCTGGTAGGATTTTCTCCAACCTCGCCCCAGCGTTCAGTCGACAAACGATTGCGTTCTTAGCTTTTCTCCTTGCTTTAGGCAACTCCTCAGGACGCAGAGTCTTCGGCTCCCCCCGCCTGCGTCCCCGTCGAACCCTGCGACCCTCGCGACATCCACCTGGAGCTGATAGATGACCGCGGCTCCGTCGACTGGAACGTCGAAAACAAAAGCTCTAGCCAACTTGTGCGTCATGATCCCGGTGTGGTACGTTGTCATAACGGAGGGCAGAGGCAGAGAGCAGGCTTGGACTCTGGCGTAAGGAATCCCACTTTGTCCCACTTCTATGTGGAGACGTCAGACGAAAGCTGAAACGCCGAGACTTTTAAAAACGGCTTTCCTGGCATTGCTTCATTAGGCTTGCTTCACACTGGATTAGGAACACGTGATGATCTCCTAGTCAGAAAGGTTTTTCCTACAAAAGAACGAGGTTCACGCACCTCCAGCATCAGGAGAAAACACAACCAGGATTTACCCGAGTCAAGCTGCCCTCTAATGACCTCTAGTGACCTCCAACTTTTTTAGTCAATGTCTTTAGAACGACAGCGGCACAAATGAACCAAAGCCAGCACAAACGCAGCACAAACATTTGACGCCCATTTGGTTAGATTTGGGTCGGCTGGTCGACCTGTTGACCTTGAAACTTTCACTAATTTCTTCAAAGCAGACGCAGCACATTTATTAATATCTTTAAAATGGCGGCAGCACAAACGACAATTATTGCTGCGCAAACCTTTGACTTCATTCAAGCTCAGGAATTATATCAGAAAGATAAGAGGATGCAGGTAATGGAGGTTTCAGTACAAAGTGCCTTCCTGAGTGAATCTTTTTTGTTAAATTCTTTTGAAGAAAACCAGCCTCTGTGCAATTTGGAGGTGTGCTCACTTCTCCACATCTCACAGCCCTATTCTTCCAGGAATGTGGAAGTGCAAAACAAAGACTTTCCTGGTGACCCGTAGGTCTTCAGAATGGAAAATGACCCACACTAATTCTGCCAAATCAGTTACAAAGTGGCCCAAGGACAACAAAGTCAACGTCTGGGACTGGACAGGCCTTCAACCATTTGGTTGACTTCGATGCTGTGGCCCGGTTCTGGTCCAGAAAGAACTGCAAATTCACTACTTGATGTGTTTCAATGACAAGACTCCAGGTTCACTTCACTGTGGAAGCTGCATGAATATTTAAAACACAACTCCATGAGCAGAAAAGGTTTGAAATGACTCTAATTGAGTTTATATATTTTACATATATAAACCAGACGAATGTCGCACTGATTTTATTTTAGTTCAGACTTTAGATTTGTTTGTTTCTGATATTTAAAGCACCTAAACCCAGGCTTTTTTTTGTTGTTAAATGTTGCCTGTGATTAAACAGATGTTTGCAGAAATTGCAGGTGAATGTTATACTTTCTTTCAAATCGGGGCTCTGAGAGAACATTGCAAATATGAAGAATTATCTAAACCAGAGAGAATAATGAAGCGCTGATCCAGAGCTATTTTAAAACGGTTGTAAGAAGCAATTCAATTTTAAAGAGATGTATAAATGACAAGTTCAAACACAAGAGGAAAGTCAACAGAAAATGACTTTTGACTTTTCTCCTGTTTCTGTTTGATGTAATTTCTCAAAACGCCTCAGAAACAGGCTGGTGATTTATTCTCAGCCGTTCTTGAATTTTGCTTTTCTCTTTTTTTTGACCGGATGTTTCGGGTGATGATGATGTTTCAGTTTGACATCTTTTAATCTATTTTGTGTTTTTAGCTTCTATTAAAGTTTATTGATGAGACATGTCTGGCAATTGTTTGTTTTTTTCCCATGTTAATTTTAATATTTATTTACCCATAACATATCAAACATGGTCATCAGTAAGAGCTACATCAGTATGTTTCTCTGTTTCTTGTGACTTGCAGTCGAGCAACAGGGAGACTCACTGCTGGGGCAAAAATAATTTCTCTCTCCCTGTGTGTGTGTGTGTGTGTGTGTTGTGTGTGTGTGTGTACATAATCACAGCTCAGTGAAGAATCTAAATCTGGTTGTTGTTTTTCCTCTGTTCGCTCTCTGAGGCCCAGTTAAAGTCCAAAAGCACAATCGTCTCAAAACAAGAAGCAAGGACGTGTTTAAACCCCCCACCACATCCAGCAGCCGAGGAGATAACAAAGCAGACTTTTTTTTTCTTCTCTCCATCATTTATTGTTTTAGAGACCCGTCGGACTCGCTGTTGCCCCCTGCGTGAAAACAAAGAGTGTCTTTGTCATCTCCGCTTTCTGTCTCCTGTTTTGCTGGTGTTGCATTCTTTCCAGAACATTGAGGCTCTTTGCGGGTTTGGCCCTCCAAAACCGTTTGAGGCACGCAGGCCTGGGGGCCCGACGTAGCAGAACCAGTGGGATCGGGTTTTATTGATCCAGCATGAAGAGCTGGCTGGTTTCATCAACACCTGATTACACAACAGCCGAGATCCTGACGTGTTCGACGATGAGCAGCAGGACGTACATAAGCAATCTGGAATAAAATCTCAGACGAATTGTGCTTTCAATCAGTGTTAGCATGGCAGCATTTTTGGTAGTTTTGGTGACATTTGTTTTGAAATGGGCATTATATTGTATAACATGGCTACAAACAGTCCATTTTCCTTACTTGCTCTCTCAAAAAATAATTTTCACACAATTTTCGTCAGACGGGTTAGGGTTAGGTGAGCCGACCCAAAATGAACCCGTTGTTCTATTGTGAAGTTGTCTAAAAGATCTCGAAAAGCAACATAAAACCCCAATTTCAAAAACCTCAGGAAGGGAAGACAATCAAAATCACAGGCGCCTGCCAGTGTGCACAGCGAGAGCCATTTTACCTATAAACAGAGAAAATATTAATAATGAAGACATGGCAAGTTCACAAATGAGCGCTGGTCTTCATGATTCAAAAGGAAACACACTCAGATATGTGTATCTTTTTACACACTCCTAAAATTTTTTGCTGTCCCCCCCGCCCCAACAGCAGCTTTTGATTTTCCAAATTTCCTAATAAAAAAAATATGTGCAACACTTTTATCCAAACATGTATCCATGGACACAAGTTTTAGAAACTAAAAATATATGTATTTCTGTAACGTGACTAAAATCTCCCGGAGTCTGGAGTGTTGCGCAACTAAAAAATATCGCCCACCTTGGTACTTCGTCACGGACGTTTTATGTTAAACAGCAGTCAGGTAGAGAAAACAAAAAAAGGAGAAGAAGTTCACAAGCTGATGTGAAGCATTGAGTCCTGGCCTTCTGTGACAGGAAATGCTTAGTCACTCCGTCAGTGACTCACCAAACCTCAGAGCTCAGCTTGTTCCTACCCCCAGCATCGACAGCATGACCGTCCAGAGACGGGTCAGCAGAAACGCGTCACGTCCCATAAACGCTGCTCAGCAGCTCCGCTCGGGCCGCACCGACGGGAAAATATACAACCAGCGCCGAGTGAAAACACGGGTGCGGGCGTAGCAACAGTCTCTTTATTTGGCCTCACGTTTCATCCATTCCGTAATTATTGTACAACATATATACAGGGGCAAACAGAAGATTTACATGTCCTTGGTTCGTCATCTTTCAATGAAGGTTGGCAGTGCATTCTTGGCCTTTTTGACCCCAGCTGGTGTCTCCGGGTTTCCTCTTGCCTTCTTCGTGAACACACAGGCGGGCCACAGCTTCATGAGCGCGTATTTGTGGTGCAAAGCTTTCGTCCAGGTCGGTCTCACCTCGCCCGTCATCTGCGTTGTTCATCTGCGCCAATACTGGAAGAAGAAACAGAAACGCAGGTGGAGTTGGGCGGCGTTCTCGGATCACGTTCCGCAAAGTAAAACATTCAGCTGCACAAACGGCGATCATCTGCTGGCAGAGTGGGCTTACCTGTGCAAATTTGTGTATCTGCTCGACCACAGCAGCGAACAAAGCTCCCACGCTCTCGTCAATCAGGCTCTGCATGTAGTGAACCGCCTCCTCGTCCGACAGGTCCAGTCTGAACTTATCCTGCACCTGGCGGCACGTCAGAATTACAGTCATCACGATGTGGTGGGAAGCTGACCACAGGCCCAGGTGCAGAAACACCGGCATTCAGTATCATTTCAAAACGCTAGTGTGTCGACACACGACTAAAGCCACTAAAAAAAGAGAAAAGGTTCTGACTTTCATCTCAGAATTCAGTTTTTTTTTTTTTTCAGAATAATTTCAATTGTTTAAATTTTTCATGCACCGTCAGGCAAACCCAGCCGTAAAACTCAAATCCACCAAGTACGTTTTGGACAGGCTGTCATGCAGTGCAAAAACAAATATTCCTATGTTGTGTGATTATTTTTATACACCGACATATCTAAGACAGTTTGGTTGTTTATTTGGATTTTGGCAATTAGAATTCTGAGATCAAAGTCGGAGTTTAAATCAAATTTTTTTAGCTTTTTAAAAATGTTTTTAGGTTTTTCTTTTAAGTTACAGAAGCTTCAGAGACGCTTCAAGCAGGTTTAGGCTGTAAAACAAGATCCCAAAACACAGTTAAAATAAATTGTGAAAGAAAGGAAAAAAAAACAACAACATGCACCCATTTCTTTCCATCCTCCTAACTCGTAATCAATATGTTTTTTGTAAAAGTCTCAGTATTTTTGTCACCTTTTTAACGGTCTTGTCAGGCTCCAGAGCGATGTCGGGAATATTGGCATCCACCATGAGGGAAAAAAGATTCAGGATCAGGTTGGAGTACCTGAGAAAATAAGTGAAAGAATTTCACAAACTGATCCGATCTCTGCAGTGAACACTTTCAACATACATTAGCGCCTAATAATCCCTCAAACACGACAGTAAGCCCGACTGTTGAAATAAATGTCTGGTTTTTGCCTCCACTCAAAGAGTTTGGGATAAATATTAGCACCTCCTGAGGTGGAGGAAGGCGGTGTAGCACTGCTTCCTGAACTCCTGGTACTGCTCGCTCTGCGTCCCCCCCATGCCCTCCACCATCTCTTTGCTCAGCTTCATGGGCGGCGGCAGCGGCTTGGGGTCTCGACCCAGGATGTAGCCAAAGTCTATGTGGAAGAGCTTCCCTGGAAGAGCGAGAGTGAGGATAAACTTGATGGAATGAAAATCCTGAACCTGGGATTGGGGAGGCAGACAGATTTCCCCCTCACCGGTTTTTGTCAGCAGCAGGTTGTCCAGGTGTCTGTCTCCAACTCCCAGGATATACGTGATGACGCAGTAACCAGCTGGAGGAGCAGAGAGACAGATGTTCAACACGCTGCCGAGTTCGGCTGGTTATTTGTTTCGCTCGAAGCCGCAGCGCGCCGAGAGTCTCACCGCAGCTCTTAACGTAGGTGTCCATCACCTCGGAGCTGATGCCGTAGGGCCCCTTTTCGCTCGGCGCGTGCTTCCTGAAGAAGCTCTGCGTTCAATGAGAACGGATCGGGTCATTGTTCGCACTCATACCTGGCGTGCCGCCGCGGCTGAACCGGCTCACCTGGATGTTGCCCTCCGTGGCCAAAACCTCGGCAACAGGAACGGACTGGACGAACTGCATGTAACCTGGAACAATAACGCGCGACTTTGGTCATTATTGAAAATAATATCTCCCAATTCTTTTTTCCCCACATCAGATCTGATTTTAGCATTTAAAAAATTCAAATTGAGAGAAAATCTTGTCAAAAAGCGTCTTTTTATTTTAATCATCCCCCAGAATCTATAAGTAATTACTAGAACACAGTCGTAATATCAACAGAATAAAGATCCAGTCTGACGAAAACATCTTTAAAATTGCGAGAAGTCATTTTATCAAGAAAAAAAAAGCTTCAATAGTGGTTCTTTTGTGAAATGCACATTCATTTGTTCAACCATTTTAAAGTCCTGATGATAATTTGATGCTGATGTGTTGAAAGACGAAGCATTTCTTCACAGTAAAACTTATACCAACTTCACAATACGCTCAACGTTCCTCATTTTAATTTGCTGTAGTTTTTTGTGCTGGAGTTCTCATAGATTAACGGTTTTATTCTGGTAAGAGGAAATAAATCATAGCCTTGTCCTGATAGTCCACGATAGAGCTGACCTGAATTCAAAGTCCAAATAGACAACAGAATCCTAACATCACTATGAAAACCAGGGAATAATTGAATAAAAAAAGTGATTGTATTGCATTGGTGGAAAACGATGATGTAATTTTCCAAAAAATGTAATCTTTAAAAAAAAAAGACTAATCTGCAGATCTGTAATCTGCTACACTGATTTATCTCCCAGGATTAGATTAAATCCAGTTTCACAATAATTTAATATTCTGATAGCAGATGTACAAACTCTTTTCTAACAATAACAACCTAGTTTTGTCTGAACTCCAGAGGAAATAAAGAGGAAATGATTGCTTACCGTGTTTGGTGCTGGTGGCCAGAACCTTATATGGAGTCAGTTTCAGGTCCAAGTTCTCTTTCCTTAAAAGCTGAACACAAAAACACAAAAAAACTCTCAAGAATTACAGGTAAAATTTAATTACCAGCTTGCCAAGAAGTGTATATGTGAGCTTGACATCTCAGAATCCCGTCCTTACAGGTTTCGGTTCTTATTCCAAGCTACTTTATTATTTATTTTACAGATATTTTCAAATCAAATTGAAAGCAAACTGTCATGGAGAGGATTTCAAGCAGGTCTTACTTTGTCCATGAGCGAGATGATCTGCAGGATGAGCTGGTCTTGTCTCAGGTCGTCTCCGTGTTTGAAGATGACGGGGTACATTGCCCCGTCCTCGGTTTTGAAGATCAGCTTGGCCGGCATCAGAGCACTCTGA